ACATGGTATCCATTTGTTTTGAGAGTATGTGTGACATGGTATCCAGTCGTTAGCGGTGAGAGTATGTGTGACATGGTATCCAGTTGTTAGTGAGAGTATGTGTAACATGGTATCCATTTGTTTCGAGAGTATGTGTGACATGGTATCCAGTTGTTAGGGAGAGTATGTGTGACATGGTACCCAGTTGTTAGCGGTGACAGTATGTGTGACACGGTATCCAGTTGTTAGCGGTGAGAGTATGTGTGACATGGTATCCATTTGTTTCGAGAGTATGTGTGACATGGTATCCAGTTGTTAGCGGTGAGAGTATGTGTGACATGGTATCCAGTTGTTAGTGGTGAGAGTATGTGTGACATGGTATCCAGTTGTTAGCGGTGATAGTATGTGTGACATGGTACCCAGTCGTTAGCGGTGAGAGTATGTGTGACATGGTATCCAGTCGTTAGCGGTGAGAGTATGTGTGACATGGTATCCATTTGTTTCGAGAGTATGTGTGACATGGTATCCAGTTGTTAGCGGTGAGAGTATGTGTGACATGGTATCCAGTTGTTAGCGGTGAGAGTATGTGTGACATGGTATCCAGTTGTTAGCGGTGATAGTATGTGTGACATGGTACCCAGTTGTTAGCGGTGAGAGTATGTGTGACATGGTATCCATTTGTTTCGAGAGTATGTGTGACATGGTATCCAGTTGTTAGCGGTGAAAGTATGTGTGACATGGTATCCAGTTGTTTCGAGAGTATGTGTGACATGGTATCCAGTTGTTAGCGGTGAGAGTATGTGTGACATGGTACCCAGTCATTAGCGGTGAGAGTATGTGTGACATGGTACCCAGTCGTTAGCGGTGAGAGTATGTGTGACATGGTACCCAGTCGTTAGCGGTGAGAGTATGTGTGACATGGTACCCAGTCGTTAGCGGTGAGAGTATTTTGTGACATGGTACCCAGTCGTTAGCGGTGAGAGTATGTGTGACATGGTACCCAGTCGTTAGTGGTGAGAGTATGTGTGACATGGTACCCAGTCGTTAGCCGTGAGAGTATGTGTGACATGGTACCAAGTCGTTAGCGGTGAGAGTATGTGTGACATGGTACCCAGTCGTTAGGGAGAGTATGAGTGACATGGTACCCAGTCGTTAGGGAGAGTATGTGTGACATGGTATCCAGTTGTTAGGGAGAGTATGTGTGACATGGTATCCAGTTGTTAGGGAGAGTATGTGTGACATGGTATCCAGTTGTTAGGAAGAGTGTGTGTGACATGGTATCCAGTTGTTAGGAAGAGTATGTGTGACAGGTACCCAGTTGTTAGCGGTGAGAGTATGTGTGACATGGTATCCAGT